CATCAAGCACCAGTTGAGATGCAGCGAAATGATTCCGGAATTAAATGGTGCTTGCTTGCAATGTTGTGTTCTTTGTTCAATACATATTAGTCCATCGTGATACGTATGCCAATGGACCACATTGTGGCTATTCAGCTTCCATGAAACTTCGTCAACACAACTGCACTCTCACTGGTTTTGCATGTTCTCCAGACAAAAAAGCCCAGGGCGCAAGCGCGTAAATTATCAAAAATCAACTGTTTCTCGATCTACTCTGATATTATCATACAGATAAATTGCCAATCATTTCCATTTGTAAAATGGCAAGCCTTTGATCGACCGCTTCCATCTTCTAGAAAACTGATCATACAAGCAAGGAAATAGACATATGCGAAAATTCTGCGTATCGCCTACATATTGGGTGGCCTTGATTCTGCTCTCATGCACTGTATTTCACTTGTGTTCAGTATATCACAAAAAACGATGGAAAAAAGTTATATTTAAATAACCTGTTTAGTTTCGGTTCTTTTGTTGAACAGTCATTTGTGATTGTGTTTAAGCCAGTATGTTGATGCCACAAATGCTAGTGTGATAAACGAGAGATTGGTTGAACCCTAAGATCACGATGAACCGGGAACCCAAGCCCCGGAGCAGCAAAAAATATTACAACTGGGGCAGGGTGGTGAATGGCCGTATTTAGTACATGAATGTTGCATAAAAGAGGGGACCTTATAGAAGAAACACTGCAGTGCGACAATGTGGTGACGAACCCGTAACAGATCGAAGATTCAACAGGACACTTCCATCCCTTATTCGCGCACTTTTCTGAGCATAAAAAACACAAGAACGCTGAGATGAATTTGCTTTCTAAATCACAACGATGAGAACCTACTATTAAGCCTATCGATCAGAAATAAGCACAATCCCTGATAGTCAATCCACAGGAAACGCTTGTTCCATCATTATTGCGTCATAAATTGAATAAAATAAAAAAGAACAGAGAGCGAAGAGAACTAGAACTACAACACACATACAAGAAAGGTTTCTACCATACATCTATTGTAACTCCAGAAAATTGGGGAAGGAATTGCTCTGCAAACCAGGAAACTCTGAATGAGCGTAGCACTTGAGTCAACTTGTGCATATATACATACACATATAAATGATACAAACCGATCAATAATCAAATTGAGAAGTATTTCGTATGCTCAACAATAGGTTCATTACTTGTGCACACGCATACACTTGGATGTACACATGAACACAAGCCGATGCACTAAAATAACAACACTGAGCAAAAGATGAAATATTCAAGTGACACAGAGAGAGATAGAAAAAATGGAAACGCTCCCACGAGACCCTGAGAACAGATGTTTGGTGAAGCTGAGTTGGTAGAAATAAACCCCTCAATTTCTCGATTGGATGATGGTTGTTATTTCAGTCCAGGGGTTAGAGAAACAAACAAAGGTATCAATGATCGGAATAATTGTTGAACAAATTAAATTCTAGCGCTATGGGAGCCAAAAATTTATGGGAATCGGAAAACACGTTTGCACTTAAGCGGAAGGTTGCACCGGAGCAGTGGTTGGAACAGAAAACCTTGCAGTCATGTTGAGGGTTTAGTATGGAAAAGATGAAAGTGGAAGGGGAATCAATCCGCCCCTAGTGGACGAATATTGTGTCTTATTATCAGAAAAAGCGGGTAGTTTCACCTGTAGCAGCGATGAGACGTTTTTTTTCATTTTGCAACAGTTGAGCTTATGTTGGTGTAAAATGCAGTCAGTCTCAGTTTATGGTTGCATTACAGTTATAAGCTTTATAAAATGACGAAGAACTGTAGAATTGTAGACCGGAAGTGAAAAGAACCACGCTGAAAAAATGAGCATCGCGCTCGTGTTCTGCAGATTGCGGGAGTTTGATAGTCGAATCCAGAAGGATTATGGAAGCTAAAAGCAATAGCCATGTCACTCTTCAGTGCTGATTATATGCAGGTTCAGTTTTCGTCCACACAATAGCCTTCTACGTCACCTCATATAGAAAATTGGGTATTCGTGCCAATAAAAGAAATTAATAACGGTGCTCCCAAAAGGTGGAGATAATACTACAATTACTCTGTTTTCCCCCATCATCTCGGACGGCAGCTTTTCTATGCCACAGTAGTGTTGAAGTCAGTCGAGGAGATCGAATCGCGGTTCGATAACCAGGTACCGTAGGCCGAAAACAGGTAAAGGCTTTCCACGTCCGGTTGTACGATGTTCGCGGTCCTCAGTTATGCATGGGGGAACTACTGGAATGATGTCCATGGCACCATTCTGTCTTTTTAAACAAAGCTATACCTCTAGCCCTGATAGAACCAGGTGCAGACTACAGAGCGGCAGAGCGCCGCTTCACTGAAACCCTTTTTCAGCACTTCCAACCTAGGTAAGGTCACCCATTTAAGACACAAATCAAGCCGATACCGATCGCGATCAAGTCCTTCTGGAGCCCATGTGAACACTTCTTTCAGATGAGTTAGCTGCAGGCAACTAATCAATCCGACCACAGGTCCGTGTTGGTATTTATAACTTTCAGTACTAGCGACGAGTTGTAAATACCGGCAGATTTCTTATTGGACACTTAATGAGAACATTTACAGGGTCCAGAGCAAAGCTTCGACTACTTTTGGGTACTGGTGATCAACGAAATGCTGACTATTAAAATGCAGTTTGTTAATTATTCAACAGAACTATCCTGTTGAAAAGTGCACAAAAAAGTACGTCGCGCTAACCGCTTACGATCACCTCGATTCATATTTCACAGATTCTACTGTTAGAATAGGACTGTGTGTGTGACAGAAAGATATCAACCCAATTCAGTGCACACGTACTCTCCGATCTAGTCAGGCTGATTAGGGACAGAGACAGATGTTGATACGAGTCACTCAAATGCTTTCCAGAGAGAGCATTGATTGTTGGAATGGACGATCGCATAGATTGACATTACGAAAAAAGGGGCTTCAGAGGAGGGAGGGGGAAGAAATCAACTTAATGACTGGTTGTGGAATTCATTCGATATACATATAGATGCATACGTGCAGTTCAACAGGTCATATAAAATGACAAACATCAAGCTACAGACGTGCAGTCCCCGCCATGTGGTAAACGGAAACACAACAGCGTAGTCTCTGCACTGATAAACAGACGGGTGAATACAATTTAATCAAAACTAGTCGCAAAATAAATATTTTCTTCATAAGTAACTCCGTCTATTTCCGGGTAGAAAGCGCATGTCGTGATTAGGATAAACGAGACAGTGAGTAAGAGTCATGACTTGTCCAAATCGCAGACAGAACGTGCGCACAAAACACCAGGGAACCAACACAACGTGATCTTCGAGGTTGGAACAAAACTGTGTCACGCGGTTCGACTACCAGATGAACTCAAAGGAACTGTATCAATTGCTCTGTGGCCACTTCGCAGGCGTTATTTATTCAGTTATCCCGAGCGAGAGGATGCGCCCGTTTCATGGTAATTCAGTGCAGGGGATGTCCACGACATCGCTTGGACATTAATCGAGAGTACGTCCAAAGATGACTAACAAGACAGTAGAGGCTATTGCAGTGATGCACTTAAATGCAGACTAGCTTCCTATTTGTCGGGTCACGAATACGATTCCCCCACCCAATCTTCCGGAAGTGCTTGATATGCATAGATGAAGCCAGTACTCACCGCGTTCCGAAAACACCTGGCTAGCCCTGCTTACGTTAGCTCTTTTGTCGAGTAGTCTCCAGGTGTGGCCGTTGTCCTGCTACCGGTTTCTTTTCTCTTCCCTTCATACAAATGGGCAACCAAAAGGCAGCACCGTACGAATTTGGAAAGTTGATGAACCGAAAACCTGAAACTGGGATTTCAGTTACTGCCAGTGGTAGTCTACACGGGAGACTGGAGAAAGAGAAACTGTTAATAACTCACATGAATGTGTGGGCTTCAACGTTGCCTCCCATCCTTAGCGATCAACCAACCCTACCCCGTGAACGACAACTACCAAGTTCAATGCAACCTGTTCAACCCAACTTAATGATAAAGAAATCCGAGTCGTGAACTGGATGTTTCCGTTATGCTCTCTTTGGCTAAAATTCACCTGAATGGAGAACGTCCGTTGATTGACACTGTTTGGTGACACGCGCAACATAAGTTTCAATTACAGGGCGATGGTGGTCAAGTCGTTGGTTTACCAAATTGTGACCCGGGGTTCCGGGTTCGAACCGCTCCAAGGCCGCCCGTCTTCCCCATTTCAGTATTTTCCCAGACAGCCTCCGTATGGTCGCAACCCCTTTCCTGAAAGTTGACTGTATATTTGTAGATTCAATGATTAAAAAAGGAAGTAAAAAGAAAGTTTTAGGTTTTATAGGTTTTATAAAAGTACTTTAAGTAGATCAATAATTACCAAAGTAGACCGAATAATATTTCTTCACTGATTTCGGTATCTAGCAGACCTTCCATGTACGAAGTCATGTACATCAGAGATAAACTGCCTTGAATGATAAACAAGGCCAGCAAGATTGAATCAATCCGATCGATTTTCAAGGTTTAAAAAAATTGTATCAGGATCAAAGTTCACATTAGACACTTTGTTTCCAGGGTTGGACAATGGACGCATCATAAAATTCACTGGCAAGGAAGAACACAGTTAGATATGAAAACCAGGTAAGACACTGGGTGAAGGGATTTTCCACTACCATGCTCCTAGGAATGGGCTTGATCAGCACTTCAAGACCCAAGATTTAGGTTGCTGATCTTCAAAACCAAACATGGACTCTCAGTGACCTTATGGGACTCATTTTGTCTCTTTAGGGCGAAGGAGTAGCCAGCGACCGTCAATTCAGCTTATGGTCTCTTCATTCCATTGGTATCCTGCCAAACTCTCATTACACATTCATTGTCGACAGTGTTCCATGATCACAGAGAAACGCACCTAGATATTTTTTGATTTGTGCTTTAACCACTTCAGCACCACACGAACGGAATAGTGTTCGGACCAGAATGTTGACTGTACATTTGTACATTCAATCAATAAACAAGGAATCAAAAAGACATTTTTTCAAATGAAGCTCGTCAGAATCAGCGAGGTGCACGGGAACTAAGAGGCCTGAAAAATGTTACAGAAAGTTATGGTCGGAAAATTCTCAGTAACCGAACATATTTTTCTAGCGAAAGTCTTTTCGAACTCAGCAGTAACAAATCAATGAAAATGGGTAAACTGGTTACGAATGAACGTGATGCTTATTTTTGCACTTAATTTTAACTCAGCGAATCACTAAGTCCGAACATTCATCAACATTTCACGACTTTGCTCAGTTCTTGCGGCTGCGACATATTGGTAACAATTGACTACTCTACCAGATGGATCAGAAAAGAATATGAGGCATTGTAAAACTGGTTAAATTACAACCTTAATGGGTTTGATGGACTTGAGCGCATGAGTCAATAGGGATCATTTGAGGTAAACCAATTTTCCTATATCTATCTATCTATCTCGTTTACGCATACTGGTGCTTTTGGTACCCTTGTAGGTAAATGGGTCTTATATTCTGAAAAAGAAATTCAGACGAAGGGTTTCAGTTTCAGTCTGTTTTTGCAACCATTAACCATGCACTTTTATGCACCGGTTTGGGTTGCTGTCTTTTGGTGCCCCATTTGTATATAAGAGCAGAATGAAGATAGGGATATTGAAAACAAATTGAAGCGGAAGATAGAGAATTCATATAGAATGGTGTTGGAGGAATAATGAGTGGATGCACCAGCGCAACTGTTTTCGACACTCAGCCATATCCCTGTCAGACAGAGGGCACACTATAGCGGTGCACCATATGTTGACTCGGTTACATTGTGCCTACCCAAAGCCCATTCCAAGATCTCTGATTTCATGGAATCTAAGACTTCCTTTGAAACTGCAAAGAAGCATATACATACATACATACGCATATACGCTTTGTTAAGGCATCGTAACAAACACCAACAGAGGGTCGTTCAAAGCGAAAATCTTCACATGCGTCCATAAGCAAATGACCTCGACAACGAGCCTATCTTGACTTCAGTCCATCACTGTTCACCCTACACAGACTCACATCTGATAAAATTCAGCGAGTTTCCTTAGTTCCTTTTGTGGTTGGTAATTTTTGCTGTTGAACGCAATAAGTACGCGCCCGATGACGGCATAGTAGCGTTAGTCTTCTGATGTCCCCGTGAACACAGACGATTTTCATGGAGTGTTAACAGGAAGTGAGATCGTTTTAAAAGAAATAGGTAGGCAAACAGTCACTTTGCGCAATTACTGTTACTAATCACTAATCGGGCGTTAGACAAATCTCATTTATATTTGAATCAAAACTTTTCGATCGTGCCTACATTCTTCACGGTTTGCTTCAAGCACTTTGATAAAAATACAGAGAACGGTGGAAACTTACGTGCAAAACAGACTGAGAAAAGCAGGAAATCCAGGCGAGAGAAGTACTGGCCATCGGGACACGTAGTCCGACACGCCCACGGAGGCGATCAAATCATCCATTGGACCGAGAAAAAGAATAGCTGGCGCCTCTTTGCGACTATGAACAAGACGTACAAGGCGGGTTTGGTTGTCGGGTGGACTGGGAACAACGCATACCATACCTCGTCCCGCAGGCGACAGTCCGTGTGCTCCAGGCACTTCGGCGGCGGAATTCACGCCACCTGGGCTGCGAGCCAAAAGACCAGGAGGACCGCAGTCAGATGCCACACGACACGGAGTGCGTTCAGTGACAGCACGTGCCGGTAAACATGCGTACCGCGGTGACTGCATACGTGTAGCGCAAGGATAACAATCGAGGACATAATGGTATTTGGAAATGACAGTAGGCATAAAACAGGAAATAACAAAACCAGAAGTCTTATAGCAGTGGTATTTATCACTTTTCGTTCTCGGTTTTTTGGGGGTTGTGTTGATGTATGGGTCTCCTTACCACAAGAAACTGAAAGCATAATCTTTGATTGGAAATCACGATCACAAATCGTGTGCTGCTGCTTCTAGATAGAAATTTGAGGCAGAGCTAAATGTTACCTAGTGCACCTCCAGGAGACGTATAGGGTGATTGATTACGTAAACTCGGACGAGCAGCGGCAATGCTGAGTCAGTTGTCACCTGGCAAGCGTTCTCCTTATGAAATGTAACAAATAATTCAGCAGGTAAACCCTAACAATCATGCGGCTTCACGATTCATTCGAGTTTTATTTAGTTTTCATGTTGCCAGTTCCTATTAACGCCTAGGAATGATTCTACCAATCAGCGTGGCGAAGCATGACACTTTAAAAACCGGGAAATATTATGAAGATAATAGCTGGTAGAAGCCTTGGTGTGTAAACTACACGCTGGGGCTAACCTGACTGTTTTACTCCGGATACCTGCTCTCTCATCGCTTAATTACTGAGGTGATACACTATGCTCCTCAACCCCACTTGAGCAAACCCAACAAAGGGCTATACGACGTCCCGATGACTATCCTCAAACATCTATTAGTGTAATCGTTCTTTTGTCCCATTTTGAGATTACCGCCTCGGTTTCTGTTCACTTTGGGTTGCCTCAGTTGCTCCCGTGTATCTCTTTTCACCTGCGAACGCGTCAGGCATCCACACAGCCATTTGCCCCTGCCAAGCTTTTGCTCCCAGGGGCATAAAACTAGCGGCTGTCAATCATTCTTCTTCCCGGAACAGCCAAAATATGGAACACTCCCTTAAGATGCTTTTCTTTCCCGATATCAATAACCTTCATTTCTTCAACAATAAAAATTGAAGTTGTAATGAACACCAGTGACTGAGTAGCGGATGCAGAGAAGAAACAGACTTGAAACGAAGATCTAACCTTCTCGGATTACGTGCATGAAACCTAAAATGGGAAAACGAATACGGTTAACAGAAACAACAGAGCAGTACATAATCGTAGAGTGAATTCATAGCAGTTGACTTTACATTCCGCCCCAACATACAGTATATATTTGACCATGAGTTTTACTGTTATTATTTTAAACTGAAATAAGCGTACACTAAAAAGGTAACTATCCCGTTCTGTTTCGATTTACCTCCCCCAGAAGGATGCAACCAGGGGTGTTTTATAATAAGTTTCAAGGACAAAACGGTAATCAATACAATGGTGAGCACAAAACAAAAGTCTTTCCTGAGGGGTGCACGAACGGACTTGGGTCAAGATTTAGTGTCGGAGTGAAATCAGATTAAATCCCCCAGGTGAATACAATAGCGAAAGATAATTCGAGATACGGAAGACGGATCTCAAAAAACAAAAACAATTCTCGAAGTAACAGACACGCAGAAAGCGCAAGAATATGGGATCATAAGAGACCTACTCGGACACCATGCTTTGACGGTACCATATAGGTGAAGCATAAATGCGTTGAAGCCGATTGACCAGAGCAGCAATCCACAGCAGAAGGAACCACGACAGCCGATGCCGTGTCTACTGCGTTCGAATCGCTCGTAGGTGGGCGATTGCCGGCAACGACTGCGGCTAAATTTCGTCTCGGACCGTTGTGTTGACCAGCATCCATTGTGCTAATATATAGACCAGACACACAATAACCAGACGGGCGATTGTGAGCTTCTTCCAGACAACGGAACCAATCCGACTGGTTACTCACGGGGCAAGAATTGATCTGAGTTATTGCATCACCCAGGGACAGACCACGATGTCCCGTTACGACAGAATTCTGAAAAGATGTTAAAAATTCGATGGCCAAAATTAAGGGAAACTTATGCAGGTATAGGCTCGACTCAATCGACCGCTCTAAACTCTGGCGCTGTCTCGCTCTAAAGGGTGTGCCCGGGAATTGTATTACAATAATACAATTCCTCTAGAATAATAGCCAAAGCCAAGTCCGAGCTTACGGCACGTTTTCGCCTGAGTTCACCACGGAAAGTGGTGTTCGACAGAGTTGCCCTCTCGCTCTCAGTTTCCATTTAACTTTGTCTTAGATTTAATTCTTGAAACAGCCCTATTTTCATGCGAGGACAGTGGCTTGATTTACTCCCAAATGGCAAACTGTCTGATCTAGAGTATGCAGATGACATTGTGCGAGTAAGTGAAGATTCAGGTAATTTGCAAGCTTTTCTGGATAGTTTGAGTGCTAGTGTAGCCATGCTCAGTATGCATTTTGCACATTCAACGTGTAAAGTGCTGCTCCAAGACTGGGTTGGCCCAGTCCCCAGCCTCACTCTGACCGGGGAAGTTGTAGAGGAAGTAGATAAGTTTTGCTACCTGGGCAGCTATATCTCACCTGGCCGACGCATCACAGATGAAGTGTCGGCGAGCATACAAAAGGCTCCATTGGCATTTTCCAACTTGAGACATCTGTGGCGCCGTCGAGACATCCGGTTGTCTGTGAAGGGTCGAGTATATGCTGCAACAGTTCGGCCAGTTCTGATTTACGGTGCAGAGACTTGGTCATCACGGGAACAGGATAAAAATAGACGATCGGAGTTTGAACACCGCTGTCTACGTGGCATTGCACGAGTCGGGTGGGGAAACCGGACGAGCAATGCTGAGGTTAGGCGTAGAGTTTTAGGTAATCGCGATCGTCCACTGGAACAGGTAGTCGACCTCCATAGATTACGCTGGTTGGGACATGTACTACGCATGCCACCAGATAGGTTACCAAGGCGAGCGATGCTTGGCGAGGCAGGTAGCGGTTGGAAAAATTAAGGGCGGTCGAACTAAGACCTGGGATGAGGGTATGAAAAGCCTGACCAGGAGACTGGGTCACATAGGTCCCGTTAGGCTCCCTGGATGGGGACCCAGAGATTATGGTCACCAGCGGTTAGAGACACTGAGCGATATGGCTGGGTGTCGCAGACAGTGGCGCTCATGCATCTATTCATTATTCTTGTAACTTCAGTCTATGAAAATGTGCTACCTTTCGCTAAATCTGCCCTCAACATTCTAATCATCATTCTGCTATTTTATCCAAATGAGCAACCAAAACCGCCGCACGAAAGCGCATGGTTAATGGTTGTAAGAACTGAACTGAACCCTGGATGGGGACCTCGAGATCATTTTAATCAATCGTTAGAGACACTGACTGATTAGGTAAGTGGTATATATATATATATATATATATATATATATATATATATATATATAAACA